AGGAGCTCTGTGGCAGTGACTTGAGGAATAGTAAAGCGCATATCCACTCGGTACATGCCAACCTCCACCCCGGTGGCCGAGATGATATTCGGGCAGGCCTTCTTTACACGGTCGGCGAACTCTGCAACCTCCCGTGACCTGAGCAACCCGCTGTTACATCAGCGACCGCGAATGAGACCGTACCTTCGGGACTCCTCTCGGTCGCTGTTCCTGTCAAAGCTACCGAAGTTGGCCCGAATGGCCTCAATCGTCGACTTGGCCTGAGACTAGACATCCCAGGGACCATAAAAATACTCACTCCCACCTGAGGGGACAGTTTCCCCATCGTTTCCTCATCAGCAGTTTGCGAGATCAGGACGACTTGTCGGTACTTGAAAGTGGACGGATCATAAACCCAGTTCTCGAGGCCCTCCATTCCAAAGAAGCCATTGAGGACAACGTCCCAGTCCGGGCGGGTGTGCTCTCTAAGAAGAGAAGTGCTGAACTTGAACGCTCACTCGATGACATACCCGAGTAGAGTGAGCCCATATAGTGTGTGGATGATGCCTTGCAAACGTTGCTCCTCGAAGCGACCATCGCCATTGAAAAAGCCATCCCACTGACCACGAGCAAAGCAGTCCCGAACCGCGTCATAGACAGCATTGACGAAACCATCATGACGATATCCGAGCTCGCCCAATGCCTGACAATGAAACTCATGATTCTTCGCACTGCGCGCGCAAGATATTCTTACGAATGTGATAGCACCATAATAGACGAAACGGCCCTGACCACCGAAGTAGCCGCATGCCGCCACACTTCTCGTCACATCATCGACCATAGGCTTCATCACCTCCTCATTATAGTACTGCGTCCCCAGCAGGTACCTACACACAGATCCGTCCTTCTCCTCCGTCGCGGCCGAGCATCACGTACAGCGCCGTCTGATGAGCTATTTGGGTGCGGTTGTCCCTCAGGCTACTCCAGCAATCTGGTTTGGTGAGGACCTCATTGATGACCTCGACCGTGCCCGGGTGCCAGAAGCCGTGTGTAGTGAAGGCCTTCATAATAGAAGTAATACCAGCGTGACCAGCATTGTCAAAGGGCGCCAAACCTTGTGCCACTGCTTGCTCGCGGATCTCAGGTCGACACACTC